GGCATCAATCTAGGAGAGGTGAGCTTTGCCAGGGCCTAATGTCAAGATTTTTATGCTTTTCTTTGATCACTATTGATTTCCATTTCTTTCACATGATTTTATGAGGTGGTAGGTGAAGCTCCATTTGTCAGATATGTTTATATATGTTTGGTGTATGCTTATATCACTGTGCTGAGCACTGTGGATAGAACAAAATCATGTTTGTATGAACTCAGGAGCAATTGTGCAATTGTGCTTTTGATTAAGGAGGCAAAAGGACCCACAATAGTTCCCTATCAACTGACAATAGTCTCTAAAGTTTCATTAGTAATGATTCTTTTTTTAAGTCTTCTATGATTTTTGGACTTTGAGAGTAATCTATTAAAGAGAAATTCTTTAAATATATTTGGAAGGAGGGAGAAGCCCACCTAATGGCTCAAGGAATGGGCTGAAGAGAAGAAAGACCTGGGGAGGGGTAAAAAGACATCAGAAAGAGACTGGTATAATTAACAAGGGAAGTGAAGAAAGGTTCCTAAGAGGTTAATGTTTACAGAAAATCAAAATTTCAAATGACTACATTAAGCTAAGATCTACATTCTGATTGTAGTCCATTATCAGTTGCTCAGCTGGCTAGCAAACACTGAGCTCTTGTCATGTACTGGGCACTCTTCTAGGTGCTGGAGATATAGCAATGAGCATAATAAGCCTATACTAAAAGAACTTAATGTCTAGAGCAGAAGGAAAGGGAGGGGCAGAAGGCAGGAAAGAAGGAGGTAATTTTCAGAGCTTAATTATGACCAACCACTAAGAAAAAGATAAAGAAAGTACAGTTTGTGAATGGTGAGGGCAAGAGGAGCTACTGTAGTTGAGGTGGTCAGAGAAGGATTTTCTAAAAGGTAATATTTAAGCTGGGGCTTGAATAATGAGATACACATTAGAGTAGATATTTGGTGGAAGAATTTTGAGTTGAAAGAATAGCAAATGCAGAGACCCTCAAGGGTTGCTTCAGGATCAAAAAGAAGGCCAGTGTGACTGGAGCACAGTGGATAAGGGTAAAAAGTGATAAGGCATGGGCCAAAGAGGTAGTCAGGGGCTAGCTCATTCAGGGACAGCTGATATCATCATCATCATCATCATCATCATCATCATCATCATCATAGCACAGTGCTAACCACTTTCTAAGGATTTTCTTCCTTACTCCTCACATCTACCTCATGAGATTTCTTTCCAGGGGTCACACAGCCAATGGTAGGTGCTAGAGAGGGGCATGAGCCCACAGGGGCCTGACTCCCAAACTGACTCTAGTTCTCAAACATTTTACTGCATTGGCATACCAAAGAAACAGGAGTCCTCAAATACCTTATATGGCATACACAAAATGAAGCATGCCCAGTATCATCATCCAATTTAAAGTCTAGAAAGCACCATGGAAGTAATGCTCTTTAAAAGTCCATGTAAGAATGGAGAACAGTGCCTAGGAGTACACTCTGTATGGCTGCTTTGGCTACTTCCTGTGGGTAGAATGTTGTCTCCCTTTCTTCATCCATCCAGGATCCCTCATATCAGCCAACACCACCAAATATGTTGCTGAATTCACTCTGAAATCATTTTAGGACAACTTGAAGGCACTAGAGATACTTAAAAGAAACTTATAATGTTAACTGGCTGAACTGTCATCTTTAGATCTCGTGGAAATTTGCAGTGTGGTTGGTATAATGGGCAGAATAATACCTCCAAAAATTGTCTATGTCCTAATCTCTGAAATCTATGGATGTGTTACCTTATATGTCAAAAGGGGCCTTGGAGAGGTGATTATATTACAGATTTTGAGATGAGGAGATTAGCATTGATTATCAAAGTGAGTCCAATGTAATCACAAGGGTCCTTACAAGAGGGAAGCAAGAGAGTTAGTGTCAGAGTGATTTGATATGAAGAGCACTCGACCCACTACTGCTGACTTTGAAGATGGAGGAAGGGGCCACAGGCCAAGGAATGCAGGAAGTTTCTAAAAGCTGGGAAAGGCAGGGGAGTGGATTCTCCCCCTCAGAACATCTAGAAGGAACCATTCCTGCTGACACCTTGACTTTAGCCTAATTAGACTGATTTTGTACTTCTGACCTTCAAAACCATAAGATAAATTGGTATTGTTTGGGGTGACTAAGTTCGTGGTAATTTGTTATAGCAGCAATAGGAAACTCAGACAATTGGCTTAATCAGTAATAACACATGCTAGTTGAATGTTCTGTCATAAAAATCACATGACAAAACTTGAGGAAAATTTTCGGTTTGTGCCTTACAACTTTGTTTCTTAAATTTATGCACTGATTTCTGCATTGATTCATTTAGGTGTTATAAAGAGGTATGCCCCCATACTCTTACCACAGTTATTTTGATTTCTTCTGCAACATCCGATATTTGTCACTTCCTGTATCTCAGGGCACTGTTATGAAAAGGAAAAATAGCAAAATCAAAAACCAAAATCCATCTGTGTGCAAAAGTATTTGAGTTCTATTTTAGAGAATGTGCCATGTATCAGTCCCGTATCTGTTCTGTGAAGGGCATGACAAAAGATGGCCACTTTTATCTGTGTCCCATGAATAGAATTTTGTGAAAATACAGGATTTTCTTTGTATTCCAGCGTCATGTACATGGATGCATTTATGGAGTACAATGTACTGATTTGATATACAATGTGGAATGCCTATATCCAACTGATTAGCATAACCATTACCTCACTTATTTGTTGTCGTAAGACATTTATACTCTATTCTGAATAGTTTTGAAATGTACCATTGCATTATGCACATTAGCTGAGGTCCCACCAAATACCCTCCCTCCTCATGCCCTCCCCCTCCCCTCTCCCTCCTATTCCCTCCTTCTTTCTGGAACATAGTTATGTTTTACCATTCACGTGAATGTATAGGTGATTATTTCATAGTAGTTTTGAGTATATTAGATACTTTACTAAGAAGAATATATTCTAGCTCCATCCAGGTAAACATAAAAGATATGAAGTCTCCATCTTTTTATGGCTGCATAGTATTCCATGGTATACATATGCCACAATTTGTTAATCCATTCATGAGTTGATAGGCATTTGGGCTGCTTCCATGACTTGGGAATTATGAATTGGGCTGCAGTAAACATTCTGGTTGAAATGTCTTTGTTGTAAAATGATTTTTGATCATCTGGGTATATATCTAGTAGAGGAATTGCAGGATCAAGGTTGTGTTTATAACAGAAGAGAAAATTATATCGATCTTTCAATGTCAGTTGTTTAATTTTTTTTTTTTGGTGCATGAAGGCAATTTAGTCAATTATTTAACTTGAAAACAAAAGTTTTATATCATAACAAAAATCCTTGTGCTTGTTATGCTTCTAATTCAAAAAAGCTGAAAAACTTTTTTTTACAGGACATTAAACTACTGTATCTGCTACCAAGTATTATGTTGAAAAGAAATCCACAGTGTGCATTTCACCCAATATCTTCATTTGATGTGGATAATTACTCTCAAATTATTTAATTATCTTGTCTAAGAATATTAACTTCTCATCTGTTTGGTTTGTTTCTGTAGCAACCATAGTTTCAGAGCTTCAATAAATGTTAGTGAAGCTCCAGCTAATAGGAACTGGAACACATATCCAGACTTAGAAGTTGGGCAGCCCAGCCCTGTTCATAAAAATGGACCCCAATAGGTCTGTTCCTCATGCCAGGAAAAGAGAACCTTTCAATATCCTTTTAGGGACATATAGGACCTTACAGGGACTCAGGGAGGATTCATTTTAACTTAGCAAACCACCTGATCCCAACCACACATGTTTGAAGGATGTTTTCTCTGATGACAGCTAGGATTAAGTGATCTCCCTCAGATTTCCCCCAAACCTATCTAGGAGTCTGCAGCTCCACCTTAAAGGCCATGATATTTAGTGAATGAATGAGTGTCGCATCATAAGATCTGTCAGCATATAAACGGTTATGATTTAATAAAGAAAAAAATAAACTTCTCTTTTCTTTGAAACAGGAAGCAGGAAAAGAAACTAAAATGAAGGTGTAAATATGGAACATTTTTAGGACTGCAAAAAAAAAAAAAAGAAACCCTGCATGCATACAATTTCTCAGTATTACAGATATTTAAATGGATCATTTTAGAACATGCAACACAACCTTTAATCAAAATATTCTGTATTTGCTTTTCTTTTCTTCATTCTCCACAATTGAAATACAACAAGCATAATTTTTTTAGTGGATTACTGCCTTGTAAATCAGTGATACTGTTGCTGTTTCTTACTCTGTATATCAACTTGCTTAATAAAGATACAATATTCTTTAGGGTTAGCAGTATGTTGAAAAACTGATCAATACTTACATGCTAAATAAAATACACCCAATCCAGAAGTTTCCACCAAATCCAGGAACATTTTTTAAAAGGCTTTTTAAATGGTCAAGGTACATTAAACCTAAAATTGAAAAGTCACTAAAAGGTTCCTAGATACTCAGATTGTCAATGAAGTATAATTCCCTCTGGAAGATGTGTGGGAGACAGAAAGATATCAGTGCCAATTTTCTGCACAAATATTCTTAGGAATGGTGGAGGGCTGTTTTGGGAGGTAGGCCATTTAACATCAGAAATAACAACATGAAGGCTATAGGTTGGTCTGGGCCATAAGCACATTATTTATAGCCTGTGCAATGTGTTAAAACATTTAAAATTACTTGCCATTACTCAAAAAAACAGTATTATTTGGATTTCCTGCTTCTCTTCAATATCTGACCCCCAGTGCCATATTGCCTCATGGTGACAGCTGACAGGAGTTGCCAGTGGCTGCCATCAGACTCCCTGGGCCAACTTCACTAATTTGTACTCCCTGCCTGGCCTGTGGGCTTGTGGGTTTGTAAAGCTGGCTTAGTGTGTGGGAAAATCTGGCTATTGCATCTCTGGTAATTTGGGAGCTGTCATGTCTGCTGATTGCTCCCATATCTAAGAATGCTTATTCCTGAGATGCAGGCAGAAACCATGATCATGGCGGCACCAGCCCCAGCACTCTGCCTCTTTTTACGTAGATGGGACCATGACAGCTCCATGGCAGTGGTTGAGAAATATGATTATGCGTTTCCAGAAAATGGAATGGTAGCATACAAAGATGACAAGCTCTTGTGTAAACAGAATATTCAGAGTCACCTGGGTGAGGCTCTAATCCAAGATTTAATCAACTGCGGTATAAGGTACATCGCAAAAATTAAACTCCTAGACTCAAGCTACCAAAACGTGTGGGATACTGCAAAGGCAGTTCTGAGAGGAAAATTTACTGCTTTAGATGCCTACATTCGAAAAACAGTAAGAGAGCACATCAACAAACTCACAAGCCACCTTATGGAATTGGAAAAAGAAGAACAATCTAAGTCTAAACTCAGCAGAAGAAAAGAAATATCCAAAACTAAATCAGAGATCAATGAAATTGAAAACAAAAGAATCATTCAGAAAATTAATGAAACAAGGAGTTGGTTTTTTGAAAAAATAAATAAAATAGATAAGCCCTTGGCCAGACTAACTGGAAATAGAAAAGTAAAATCTCTAGTAATCTCAGTAAAAAATGATAAAGGGGAAATAACTGATGACACAGAGATACAAGAGATCATCTCTAAATACTACCAGAAACTCTATGCCCAGAAATTTGATAATGTGAAGGAAATGGATTAATATTTGGAATCACACCCTCTCCCTAGACTTAGCCAGGAAGAAATAGAGCTCCTGAACAGACCAATTTCAAGTAAGCACTGAGATCAAAGAAACAATAACAAATCTGCCAACAAAAAAATGCCCTCATCCAGATAGCTTTACACAGAATTCTATCAAACCTTCAAAGAAGAGCTTATTCTTATACTGTAGAAATTATTCCCAAAAATTGAGGAGGAAGGAATCTTCCTCGACACGTTCTATGAAGCAAATATCACCCTGATACCAAAACCAGGAAAAAACACAACTAAAAAGGAGAATTTCTGACCAATTTCACTAATGAATATAGATGCAAAAATTTTCAACAAAATCCTAGCCAATAGATTACAGCTTATCATCAAAAAAATCATACATCATGAGCAAGTAGGTTTCATCCCAGGAATGCAAGGCTAGTTTAACATACACAAGTCCATAAACGTTATTCACTGTATTAACAGAAGCAAAAACAAAGACCTTATGGTCCTCTCAATAGATGCAGAAAAAGCATTCAATAAAATCCAGCATCCTTTTCTAATTAGAAAACTGAAGAATGTAGGCACACATGGCACATTTGTTGAACTGATCGAAGCTATCTATGACAAATGCACAGCTAATCTTTTACTGAATGGAGTAAAACTGAAAGCTTTTCCACTTAGAACTGGAACCAGACAAGGTTGTCCTTCCTCTGTCACTATTATTCTTCAACCTAGTGCTGGAAGTTTTAGCCAATACAATTAGGCAAGACAAGGAAATAAATGGCAACCAAATGGTTGCAGAGGAGGTCAAACTCTCCCTCTTTGTTGATGATATGATCTTAGAGAACCCCAAAGACTCAACGACAAGACTCCTGGAAGTCATCAAAACATACAGTAATGTCTCAGGATGTAAAATTAATGTCCACAAGTCAGTAGCCTTTGTATACGCCAACAACAGCGAAGATGAGAGGCTAATTAAGAACACAACTCCATTCACCATAAAGAAAATGAAATACCTAGGAATATACCTAACAAAAAAGATGAAGGACCTCTATAAAGAAAATTATAAAACCCTAAGAAAGGAAATAGTAGAGAATATTAACAAATGGAAGAACATACCATGCTCATGGCTGGGAAGAATCTGTTAAAATGTCTATACTTCCGGCTCGGTGCCTGTGGCTCAAGCGGCTAAGGCGCCAGCCACATACACCTAAGGTGGCGGGTTCGAATCCCCAGCCCGGGCCCGCCAAACAACAATGATGGCTGCAACCAAAAAAATGGCCAGGCGTTGTGGCGGGCGCCTGTGGTCCCAGCTACTTGGGAGGCAGAGGCAGGAGACTCGCTTGAGCCCAGGAGTTGGAGGTTGCTGTGAGCGTGATGCCATGGCACTCTACCCAGGGGGATAGCTTGAGGCTCCATCTCAAAAAAAAAAAAAAAAAAAAAAAAAGTCTATACTTCCCAAAGCAATCTACCAATTCAGTGCTATCCCTATTAAAATACCAATGTCATACTTTCAAGACTTGGAAAAAATGATTCTGTGTTTTGTATGGAACCAGAAAAAAACCCATATAGCTAAGGCATTTATTAGTAATAAAAACAAAGCTGTGGGCATCAGCATAATAAATTTTAGGCTGTACTACAAAGCCATAGTGGTCAAGACAGCACGGTACTGGCACAAAAATAGAGACATAGACATTTGGAATTGAATAGAAAACCAGGAAATGAAACTAACATCTTACAACCACCTAATCTTTGATAAACCAAACAGGAGCATACCTGGGGGAAAAGACTCCCTATTCAATAAATGGTGTTGAGAGAACTGGATATCTACATGTAAAAAACTGAAACTGGACCCACACCTTTCTCCACTCACAAAAATTGATTCAAGATGGATAAAGGACTTAAATTTAAGGCATGAAATGATAAAAATCCTCAAAGAATGCATAGGAAAAACACGGGAAGATATCAGCCTGGAGAAAGACTTCATGAAGAAGACTGCCTTGGAAATTGCAACAATAACAAAAATAAACAAATGGAACTTAAGTAAACTGAAAATCTTCTGTACAGCTAAGGAGACAACAACCAAAGCAGATAGACAACCTGCACAGTGGAAAAGAATATTTGCATATTTTGAATCAGACAAAAGCTTGATAACTAGGATCTATAGAGAACTCAAATTAATCCACATGAAAAAAGCCAACAATCCTATATATCAATGGGCAAGAGACATGAATAGAACCTTCTCTAAAGAAGACAAATGAATGGCTAACAAACATATGAAAAAATGCTCATCATACCTAATTATTAGAGAAACGCAAATCAAAACCACCCTGAGATACCATCTAACCCCAGCAAGAATGGCCCACACCACAAAATCTCAAAACTGCAGATACTGGCATGGATGTGGAAAGAAGGGAACACTTTTACACACTACTGGTGGGACTGCAAACTAATACAATTGGAAGGAAGTTTGGAGAACCCTCAAAGAACTCAAGCTAGACCTCCCATTTGATCCTGCAATCCAATTACTGGGCATTTACCCAGAAGGAAAAAAATCCTAAATTCTTTTATCATAAGGACACTTGCAGTAAAATATTTATTGCAGCTCAATTTACAATCATCAAAATGTGGAAACAGCCTAAATGCCCACCAACCCAGGAATGGATTCACAAGCTGTGGTATATGTACACAATGGAATACTATTCAGGCATTTAAAAAACGGAGGCTTTACAGCCTTTGTATTAACCTGGATGGAAGTGGAACACATTATTCTAGTAAAGCATCACAAGAATGAGAAGCATGACTCCTATGTATTCAATTTTGATATGAGGACAATTATTGACAATTAATGACACAGTGGGGGCAGGGGAAGGAGAGGGCAGAGAGAGAAAGAAGGAGGAAGTGGTGGGGGAAGGAAGAGCAGAGAGAGGGAAGGAGGGAAGGGGGTCAGGTCTTGTTGTGTGACAAACCTTTTAGGGGCAAGACATTATCATAAGAGGGACTTTACCTAAAAAATGCAATCAGCGTAACCTGGTTTCTTGAATCCTCAATGAATCCCCAACAGCGAAAAAACAATTAAACTCAAGAAGAAGAGGGGTACTTTCATTGAATTCCACAATGGGATGTTAATTGTGTCCCCTATTAGTAGGAGCTGTAGCCAGGAAGAACGCATTGAGTTCTATGAAGTCAATAAAAAAGAAACTATAAGACAAAAATTTGTAGCTGATCTACGGAAAGAATTTGCAGGAAAAGGCCTCACATTTTCCATAGGAGGCCAGATCAGCTTTGATGTCATTCCTGATGGATGCAACAAGAGGTATTGCCTGACACACCTGGAAAATGATGGTTATAAGACCATTTATATCTTTGGAGACAAAACCATGCCAGGTGGCAATGACCACAAGATCTTCACAGACCCAAGAACCGTGGGCTACAGCGTGACAGTGCCTGAGGACACATGCAGGATCTGTGAGGGGCATTTCTTCTGATGGGGCAAGGGGGGTTCCTGGATACTTGTTGGATGAAGCTTAGGGCCCTCCCACATGCTCACACCCCCTTCTTCCCCAGCTGGGTCCTGTGCCACTGCCCTGATCACACATGGTCTAGACCTCCAAAGCCTCAGAGAAATTGCCCTCCACCCCCAATGCTAAGAGTAGCTGGGAGAGAGAAGAAAATACTCTGAGAATGGCTCAAAGGACTACCTCCAGCAAAATATTTCATGCCCCAGCCTTCCCAGACTAAGACCTGCAACTTCCCCACTATTCTACGGTGCTGCAGAAAAAATCAACATGCCCAGACCCTCCCAGTTTACGGGCCTTGTGAAAATGTAAGAGGTGTTAGTGTTTGGACCCCTGTGTCAACACCAAGAAGGAAGATATGAAAAAAAAAAAATAACCAACAAAAACAAAAAGGAGGATCTGGTGATGACAGAAAAAGGACAAGCCATCTGCCGTGACCTACCCTGTGACAGACGTTAGAAACACTCCCTGAAATGAAGCTCCTTCCTGCATCAGCTGGAGGTGGCTGTTGCTGTGGGAGGCAGAATGAAGCAGGGGCTACAAGTACTGTTTTCCAAGCTGCTCCTGTTGGCAAGGCTAAGGCCTACCTAACAGGTGACTGGCCCACAACTCAGGCCAGCGCTGTGCTCCCTGCACTTCAAGTGGCCTGCTTTTCCATGACTATCAAGATGGGTGGAAATAGGAATCAGCAACCCTGCAGAGAATTGGCCCTGGCAGAATGTTTCATCCCTGGAGAGTTCAGAGAAGCCCACTTGGGAGTTCTAACTTCACCAAAAGGACCTTCTCATCAGACCTGGCTGGGTTTCCCAGAGGCACTCACCCCTAGTTTCTCAGGGATGGGGGAAGAGCCTGGCTAGGTGTAAGAACGAACACCTTGGTCCCCTCAGCCACTTTTACTAACTGCAGCTGGGCTTGCAGCTCTCACTCCTCCTTTCTATGCTCTGCAAGCTCTTTAGGAAACTGGAAGGGGGTTCACAGGCCTTGTTCAGAAGACAGTGGAAGAGAACTAAAGAAATGGTTGACATGTTGCTTTTGGGATGTAGAAATGCTGGGACCCTCGTACCCTCTGAAGACCGGTGCTGGGGTGGCCTGGTCTCTGCTGGGTGCTGCCTGCCTGAGCCTGGCTGATCTGCACTTCCCACCACCCGCCGCCCAGCTGGGCCCCTCCAGACTGCCCGGCCAGACTGGTAGGAGCCCTCATCTCAGAGATCCCTAAAACATGGCTGTCCAGTGGTGTCTTTCTGTGTTGCATTTCACAAACGATACTGTAATGACCTTTCAGAATGAAAAGTAGCACACTAAAGTAATTTTATTTCCTATCTCTAATTGATTACTTTTTCCTCCTTTGATTGGTGAGTGAGTGGTTAAGTGAAAGATTCGCAATTGTAACTTAGATTCTGGAAGGCCTTCTAGATCCAAGAGCCCCTCTTTCTTTGCTCTGGTATTTCTGTGATGTTAGGAGCCACTTACTCTGTCCAAATGTTTCACATCCCTGTTCCAGACACACAGAACCCCTCTCCAATGCTTTCCTGCCCACTCACATCAACATCCACAATCCCCTAGACGTTTTCTTACTGTGTCAAATCATGATTACCAAGTCTTACTCAAACCAGTGTTTTTTGAAATTTTTTTATTGTTTTATTTTTTGACTTTGCCTTAATATCATTTATTTATTTTTTTTATTAAATCATAACTGTATACATTAATGCATTTATGGGGTACAATGTGCTGATTTCATATACAATTTGTTTTTTTATTTTTTTATTTTATTACGTCAAATACACATAGATCATGAATACATTTTTGCATATGTGGGGTACAATGTGCTGATTTTTTTTATACAATCTGACATGGTTACATTAGTCTAATCAACATAGCTTTCACCTCATTTACTTGATTATTGTACCAAAACATCTATGTTCTACACTTCATAGATTTGACTCTTGACCTTCCCTGAAACTCACTGCCTGAGGCTTCTGGCCAGGCCAACATCCTTCCCCAGTTCCCACAGAGGCCACTTCAGACTCTCACAGACCCCTGAGCCCATCTCACCATTCCCCACTCCTTCCCTCTGCACTGCCAGAATGTCCTCCACGTGGTTGGCCTTGAATAAAGCCCAGCAGTTTGCTGACACTTAGTTTCAAGCAGGAGCCTAAAAAATTATTGTTCTGTGGTTTGTAGGCCACTTCAGAACTTTGGAATTGTAATGGTCATTTCATTAGAAAGAAACATCTGGGATGAGTGCAGTGGCTCATGCCTGTAATTGTAGCACTCCAGGAGGCCAAGGTGGGTGGATCCCTTGAGCTCAGGAGTTAAGAACAGCCTGACCAACAGCAAGAGCAAGACCCTGTCCCTGCCAAAAATAGAAAAATTAAGCATTGTGTGGCAGGTGACTGTCATCCTAGCTATTTTGGAGGCTGAGGGAAGAGGATTGCTGAAACCTACAAGTTTGGGGTTGCTGTGAGCTACCATGCCATGGCACTCTACCCAGGGCAATGGAGTGAGACTCTTTTCTCCAAAAAAAAGGAAAAAGGCTTGGGGCCCACAGCACAGTGGTCACAGTGCCACCTACATACACTGAGGGTAGTGGGTATGAACCTGGCTCAGGCTAGCTAAACAATAACAACTGCATCAAAAAAATAGCCAGGAATTGTGGCAGGTGACTGTAGTCATAGCTATTTGGGAGGCTGAGGCAAGAGAATCACTTAATACCAAGAGTTGGAGGTTGCTATGAGCTGTAATGTCACAGCACTCTACCGAGGGCAAAAAAAAAAGATTCTGTCTCCAAAAAAAAAAAAAAAAAAAAAAAAAAAAAAAAAACTTCCTCCCCGCCCAAAAAAAGAATGCTTATTCCTCTTGGGAAAATTCCAAGAGGGTCTTAATGAGATTGAAAAAATTAAGAAGCCTTGTTGTTAGGCAGGGGATGCTGAATAAAACTATGAGTAGGTAATAGTCCCTATAGGTCTTTCATCCTCTGCTTTTTTTGAAGCTAAGACTGGCTGCCAGACAAAATATGAAGTAGATAAAGTTAATCTTTATTATTTTCACTCTTCTCTTTTAACTCCTTAGAGGAATTCACCTGTAACCAATCAAATACACTGTCCACTAACATGATGTCACTCTCTGTCCTTTAATGCCTTCTCATCATTTTAGAATAAAATCTTAAGGCCATATCATGGTCAGTAAGTCTACATGATAGGACCCCAACCTACCTTTTCATATTCAGCCACTATCATTCTCTCCCTCCGTCACTGTGTTCTAGCCACACTGGCATTCTTGCTGTTTTTCAAACAGACCAAACAGGATCCTATTTGAGGGGCCTTTGCCCTTGCTATTTTCCAAGCCTGAAAAGTTCTTCCCATAGGCAGCAATGTGGCTGACTTTCTTTCTGCTCAACTGTCCTTTTTCCAGAGTAGCATTCCTTGACAACCAATATCAGTGGCCCATTTGCCCATCACAGTCTGTCCCTCTCTGTTTCCTGGTCTTGCTTTATTTTCATATCCTTTATCACTAATCTAACACTCTATAGGAAGTCCTTGCTTTGCATGATAGTAAGGGATCATAAAAATGACTGTGCAAGGCTCGGCGCCTATAGCTCAACCGGTTAAGGCGCCAGCCACGTACACCTAAGGTGGCGGGTTCGAATCCCCAGCCCGGACCCGCCAAACAACAATGATGGCTGCAACCCAAAAATAGCCGGGCGTTGTGGCGGGCGCCTGTGGTCCCAGCTACTTGGGAGGCGGAGGCAAGAGACTCGCTTGAGCCCAGGAGTTGGAGGTTGCTGTGAGCTGTAATGCCACGGCACTCTGCCCAGGGGGACAGCTTGAGGCTCTGTCTAAAAAAAAAAAAAAAATGACTGTGCAAGCCAAAACCATGTAAATCAAATGTTCTTCATAATCAGTGATGAAAATAATGATTGCTCCATAAATGACCATTACTTTTTCTCAAAACATTAAAAGCTCTTTACTGTCAGTTATAAATGCATTGTAAATTGTAAACAATGTAAAATGAATATTTATTTACTATATTGTAATTTAAAACATTAGAAATGTTGAGAATTAAAATGCTTTTTTTTTTTTTTTTTGGTAAAAAACTTATGAATTGAGTGGGCATATCTCAGAAGAAGATATAGAAGTGGCCAGTAAGTCCATGAAAAGATACTCGACATCACTAATAATTGGGGAAATATGAATTAAAACCACAATGAAACATCACCTCAAATCCATTAGGATGGCCATAATAGAAAAAAATAGAGTAATAAGTGTTGTCAAGAATATGAAGAAATTGGAACCCTTGAGTATTGCTGCTGGGATGTAAAATGGTGGCGCCACTGTGGCAAATAGTATTACAGTTTCTCAAAAATTTAAACAAAAATATTATACATCCAACCATTCCACTTCTAGGTATCTGCTCAAAAGCAGGAACTTGAACAGACATTTACCCATCAACGTTCATATCAGCATTATTTACAATAGACAAAATGTGGTAAAAATGGAAATGGATAAACAAAATAGAGTATTGTATAGTCTTAAAAAGAAATGAAATTCTAATGCATGGATGAACCTTAAAGTTATTATGCTAAGTGATATAAGACAAATACTATATGATTTCACTCATATGATTATACTCAGATGAGAATAGTCAAATTCATAAAGACAGAAAGGAGAATATATACTACCAGTAGCTAAGAGGAGAGAGAAAGAGGAGTTAGTTTTTAAGGGATACCAAGTTTGTTTGGGATGATGAAAAAGTTCTGAAGGTTGATGGTGGTGATCATTGCACAACAATGAGGATATGCTTAATGCCACTAAGAGTACACTTACAAATGGTTAAAATGGTAAACCTCATGTTGTGTATGTTTTGCTACAACTAAAAATAATCAATAAGAATAGTTTGAGCAGTGCCTTCTTCCTTCTCTTCATAGAACTTACAATACAGAGAGAACGTTTTTTATATTTCTTGGTAAATAA